TTTTGATTAATTTATTAAATTTAATTATTAATTAATTGATTAGTTTTTTAATTTGTTATTTTTTATAATTGTTAGGTTAATTTTGATTAATTTGTTGAGTGTAATTGTTAATTGATTGATTAGTTTGTTAATTTGTTATTCTTGATAATTGTTAGGTTAATTTTGATTAATTCGTTAAGTTTAATTGGTTGATTAGTTTGTTAATTTATTATTTTTTATAATTGTTAGGTTGATTTTGATTAATTGGTTGAATTTAATTGTTAATTGGTTAATTAGGTTCTTAATTTGTTATTTTTTATAATTGTTGGGTTAATTTTGATTCATTGGTTGAATTTAATTGTTAATTGGTTGATTAGTTTGCTAATTTGTTTTTTTTTTGTTAATTATTAGGTTAATTTATTAATTGATTGTTATTTAAAATTTAATTAGGTTTGAATTAGATTTAATTAAGATAATTTGATTTAGGTTTAAATTAATTAGGTTAATTTTGATTAATTGATTTAATTTTTAATTTTTTATATTTAATTGTTAATTGGTTAATTAGTTTGTTAATTGTTAGGTTAATTTGTTAATTAATTGTTATTTAAAATTTAAATAGGCTTGAATTAGGGTTAATTTACTTAGGTTAATTTAAAATAATTTTAAATTAATTAGGTTAATTTTTATTAATTGGTTGATTTTTTTAATTTTATTTAGATTTAAATTTATTAATTAATTTTTATTTAAAATTTAATTAGGTTTGAATTATATTTAATCAAGTTAAGTTGATTTAGGTTTAAATTAATTAGGTTAATTTTGGTTAATTTGTTCATTTTTAATTTTATTTATATTACAAATTTTTAATTATTTTTATTTAAAATTTAATTAGGTTTGAATTAGATTTAATTAAGTTAATTCGATGCAGGTTTAAATTAATTAGGTTAATTTTTATTAATTTTTTCATTTTAATTTGATTTATACTTCAATTTGTTATTTAAAATTTGAATAGATTTGAATTAAAATTAATTTTCTTTGGTTAATTTAAATTATAGCTATTTTTGTAATTGATTGATGTTTAATTTTATTTATATTGTAATTTATTAATTATTTGTTATTTAAATTTTAATTAGATTTGAATAAAAGTTAATTTAATTATTTTATTGATAATTGTTGAAGTGTGTTGAGATATACCATTGTGTATTGAACCCCAGGGTAGGAGACCCTCGAAAATAGAGGGAGTATAAGATTGGTTTGATGTTGTTATGATGGAGATGGGAGGACAAATTTGACATTTAATTTCAATTAATTGTCCGAGGCAAGTGCCTATTCTAGTATGCACAAATTGATTATTGGTTGATGTTTGTGTTATCATAGTTAATTAAAAATATTTGCATATGTTGTATATATTTACTATAGTTTATGCGTTGTGTATTTAATTTCAATGAATTTTTTTTTATGAAAACAATTTAAAATATATTTTTAGTCAAATTATTTTAATTTTTTGTATTTGTTAAACTCGTTTCATGTGTTATTCTAGAGATATGACTTATGGATTGTGTCGTTCCACCTTAGTGTCCTATTCGGGCAATTGCGTATGGTGGCAATGTATGTGGTTATGACGTTGATAGTAGTAGTTTTTGTGGTCGTGCCACCGATAATGTCGGTGTTTGAGATCGTGGATTTGATAGTGGCGCTATACATGATCGTGGAAGTGATTATGGTAACATGGTCGACACATCCGCATCCCCATTCGTAGTGCCCTTGTTGGTGGTGTCCCCAACTATGAAGGTCCTTTTGGTAGTTTCTTATGCTCTAAGAAGCTCTTATGGATCCGATATCTGGATGAATCATTTGGCTCGTTAATAATTGATAAGTAATATGCTTTATATTTGATAATTAGTTTTATATATTTTATATATATATTATTTGAATCATTAATTGACTTGTTTATTATTTATTTGTTTTGTTCGATAATTTGATTCTATCAAGTAAGTGTTCAAGTTGAATCATTGTAATTTTAAAAGAGCGACTGGACATAGCTCATTCCACATGAAAGTCTATCTTTATGAAGATAAAAAATTTCTACTTTAATGAATTTAGAATAACATATTGATTATTTATTTATATTACATTTAATGTCTTAATTTAACATAAAATGTATTAATATTCATTTTTTTCTTCATCTAGAAGTATTTTTTATTGATTCGGGCATGGAAGGACCGATTAAGAAAGCATAGGAGAGTCTAACATGAAGACGGTACTTTGACATCCTTAACAAGCTTAGGCAAGAGACCAACAAACCCATGTATGTTACGGAACAAGTGTTGGATGCATAGAGGAGGAATTGGGGCACACCCGAGTTTTAGGCCTAATCTCAAGCAATTATCTCGAAACCGCATGCCAATGATAGGTGTTGTCTGTGCCTGGCTCATCCGAGCATACATGGGGTCTATCTTTTTTTTATTAAATAAGTTGAATGTTTAATAAATCCTATTATCCATTGTGTTATAAATTAATATTTACATTTTTTTGTTATCATATTATTTTATCTATTTTTTTAGCATAATAAATTGGATCGTAATCTAAATCCTTATAAGATGTTCCTAAACACTTACAAACAAAGAGATGACTATTGAGAGGAGGTCCTAGATAACAATGGTAAGTTTTTTATTTTTGTAAATGTACATATATTAATATCATATAAAAAATAAATTTATAATTTAATATTATAATTATTTCAATTACGTAAGAGCGTATGCATTCATTGTAAGAAGCGATTGCTAAGGAGCAACGAGGAGGGTGATTCATCATTTTCAAATGTCGACATGACTAAGATATATTTCAATATTGTAACAGAAGAGAAAAAGTAGAGAGTGTACGACATTGGAATACAAACGTCCTAGTATTACTCTCATCCGATGTCGACTCATCCTCCGTCATATCGCAATACCCCGGTTGTAATATTTAGGAGGTTACCGTCCAGTACTAATATAGGATCACGGGGATAAAGGTTGATTATACTCGGTGATTCCAAGAACAAGAGGATAAATTCCACAATCTATATATTTAGATAAAGATGGTGCAAGTGGCATTATAGAGCCGTAGTAGACTAGTGTCTTTTATGAGTTTAGACTCGATCTCAATAGGCATCTCAAAATCGTATGTCGGAGACAAACGGTGTCGATGCTAGCCCATCCAAGCATACAGGGAGTCCATCTCTTTGAATGAGCATGCTAAATGTGGCGTAAATCCTATTATCCATTGTGTTATAAATTAATATTTACATTTATTGCGTCTCACATTATTTTGTTTATTTTTTTAGTATAATAAATTGGATCATAATTCAAATCCTTATGAGATGTTCTTAAACACTCACAAGTGGAGAGATGAGTCATTCATTAAGAGGTGGTCCCGGATAATAATGGTAAGTTTTTTATTTTTATAAATATACATATGTTAATATAATATAAAAATAAATTTATGTTTAATATTATATTTATTTTAATTATGTAGGAATGCGTGCATTTATTGTAAAGCAATTTCTAAGAAGCGAGCAGGAGGGTAATTCATCACTTTCAAATGTTGACATTACTAAAATATATTTCGATGTTGTAAAAGTGGAGAAGAAGCAAACAATATATGATAAAATATAAGCATCCCAATATTGCTTCCATTTTGGCGCTAACTCCTCCTTTATCACTTCGTGGTACCCTTGTGGTAATATTCAAGAGGTTACCGTCCACTACTAATATAGGATCAAGGGGATGGATGTTGATTATACTCGATGGTTTCGGGAATAGGAGGATAAATTCGACAATCTATATAGTCGGATAAAGATGGTGCGAGTGGCGATACGGGAGCCGTAGTAGACTCATGTCTCTCATGTTGACCCCCCAACAACCTAGGTTCAGCCGTTCCTCTCAATACCCAGTGGCTAGAAGATGATGGAGAAAATGGTGATAATAAGGACTAGCTTTTTTAGATTTTTAATATTTTTATACACCCGAATGTATTTGTATTTTTATTTGATTTCAATTTATATTATTTTAATTTTATTAAATAATATTTGTGTTATAATAAGGTGTTATTTTTATTTGTTTCCTACTATCATTAAAATTAAATGGCTATTAATTTATATAAAAAAATTCCTTCATTTGATGACGAATTAGAGACCAAAATAAAATCTCTTTACGACGGACATAGAAACAAGTCACTAAATAGTGATGGATATGGCGATCGATTTGTGAGGAAATTTAGCGATGGAAATTTCATGGCTAAACAACAACGGCAATATGGAGAATAACAATGATTTTACGATAAATTCAAGACCTAAAAGATGACTATTTATTTCGATTTAACGACAAAAATACTTCACATTCGCGACATGCATCAATTTCTATCGTTTAAAAAGCTGCGACGATCATTATAGCTAATGAAAAATATTGTCATAAATCCATCGTTAAAAATTAATAGCGATGGAAAATTCCATCTCTATTTTAATGTTTTCTTTGATCATTATCAAGGAGAATAAATATTCATAGCTTAAATTGCAAGTTGACTTGAAAAACAAAATGGAGAAATATGGAATCATAAATTGTTGGAATCATAGGGTTTAGTAATTTTTCAATTTAAATATTAGTAAATTATTATGTAACATTTTTAAACTACTAATGGTTTAGTTCAACTTTTAAAATAAGTAGAGTGTGTGTATACATATAAATATATATAAAGTTGCATCATAATCTAAGTGATTGTCTGGTATTATTGTGCTTTTAATTGTTTTTATTTCAAAAATATCATTTGATTATGGTATGTTTGATGATTATAGGTGCGTCGAGTTGGATATGTGTATATAAGAAAAACTCGCGCGGATCAACTTCTTGTCATCCATAATTGAAACTAGAGTTTCAAGAGTGCATAGAAATAACAGAGAGCATGCATGAATAATGACGACTATAATGGAAACAAAACATTCACTCATCTCATATCAATTCAATCGCTCAATAGAGAGCGAGAGAGAGATGAGCCAGGAGTGGATCGAGGAGGCGCGCTTGGCCACCGACAAGGAATTGAGAGTGGCGAGAAAGAGTGAAGTGATCATTTTTCTTTTCTGATGGAAGCCTCGGATCAAATCTGCAATTTATAGTCTTACCAATGCCCACTCTCCATCTAAGACCTTGAGCAAGAACCTTCCTTCACATTAAGATGCTCCGCCAACCACACGAAGGGTTAGAATCCTGTTCGGCATCCAGAAAATATCCATAGGAAAAGTATTTCCCTCTGAAAATTTTACTGGAAGATAAGTGAAGGAGTATTCTGAATGAGTCTAGCTCCATTCTTGTTTCGCCAATATAGCTAAATTAAAATCAATTTCTCTGCAACTTCACTAGCTTGTGTCCAAGAAAGCAAAAACAAATTAACGGTGGCATCTAAGACATCTTCTATTAGGCCTAACTGAAAACAAGCAATCCAGTTCCTTGCAACAACCGGATTGCTTCATCTAACGTCAAATCCCAACTAAATCATATGGCATTCTAATTTTAACACCCAATTCAACTGCAATCCAAAGAATTTTAATAACCATAGTTGACGGTATAGACAGTGGTTGGAGGGTGTTGAAGATATTTAAAAATTATATGTAACAGTGGGGCATAAGAAATAATGAAAACAATAAATAATGAACACGCGCGGTTGTGAATAATGAGTTTAAAGAAGAAGAAATCAAATGACACAAATCTTAATAAAAAATATAAGAAGATTTCCATTTAGGTTTTTTTTTTAATTTTATTTCTCTACTATATGATTATCTTTTTTATGAATAACTTACACTAATCGCCTCATAAATAATATAAAATTACTCAGTATTAGTGTACATAGTCGTGTTTATAGGATTGACATATAAATTCTAGGCTCAAGTGGAATTATAACATCTAAGTTTTCTAAATTTTACAATGGGAATCTTTTCACCTATTTATCCAATAGTTTATCGGCGAGAACATCTCCACTGGTTCGAATTTAATTAAGATAAGTTCACAAAGAGCATGCATGTGTAAATCGTTCTCCTGCGCATGAAATCACGTACAAGTTCCTTAACAAACTATGAAAAATGTAGAGTAACAAAGGAAAAAAAAAAAACAACAAATAATAGGAGCACAAGTATTTAAATCGATTATGTTATGTTTTTAGAATCATCACATTATATGAATTTTCATACGCATATCTCACATTAACATTCTCTCTCTCTCTCTTTTTTTTTTTTTTTTTTTTAAATTGACACTTTATGAGAAATCTAAATTGTTGCAACCCTTGCTTATAAATACCAGCACCATCGTTAATTTTCTCTAATGCTTGATTTTAATTTTTTGAATGTTGAACTTTGATTGTACTGAGATTTCAGTATACTTTTAAAACAAGATGCGGAATGTTTAATAAGAGTAACTAATTAAGAAACAAGAGTTTTTATTTTTTAATTAAAACACAAAGATTCAGAAAAAAAATTCTAAATATAATCTAATTAAATCAAATCGAGCGACAACGAAAGTATTTGACTAATTAGTTTCGGTTTGGTTCAATAAATAAATGACTTTTTCCTAGTTTTTACTCATCGAAAATATCTACTCCATGCCTTTCTACCTTTGTCAAAAGCAAGTTTTAAAGTATTAACGGATACAAGTCCTTATGATTTTCGAGGGTTAGTTGCTTTATATACTTTACATCCATGGTAAAGGGGGCAAAAAAATATAGAAGTATTTTCACGGATATGTTATTACCACCACGTGGCAAAAGATAGATCACTACCGGTGATCTATTCACGTCGAATGCTCTTGCCATTCAAACGCCTTATCATACATGAGATGGCTACATTCTTCTAGATTGCAGGAAGACAAAGCCATCATTTAATTTTTGTGAACGTACGTTTCTCCACGTCTCCAATTTTTTTTAAAAAACCTCACTGCCACGTCACCAAAACCTTCTTTTCCCTTTCCTTCCTCTACACCCAATTGCAAAACGGACCGTTCTTTCTCCTCCTCACCTTCTCAACTTTCACTCAAATCTTCCTGGGAGCCAAACGCAGATATTTTCCTGCTGACTTTCTCACTTCTGCATTTACATGGAAGTTAAATTGCAGCATCGTAGCTTCTTAAATTCAAGGTGCTCAATTCTGAATTCTATTATGATTTTTTTTTCGTTTGTTTCATTGCAAGTTTTCTTTTTAGTACTATCAGTTTTGACCGTGCAATTAAAGAGTAGCTAGGGTTTTTGGAATCTCTGCTTGTTTGGATGCTGATAAACTGAGAAAAAATAAAAGAAAATTAATATCCAAAATAGAATTTCAGGTCCAGTTTGTGATTGAATTCCGTGAATTACGCTGTTTTTAATAACTTCATTAATGTTTCATGTTTTTCCGTTTTGAACGACTGTAAATGTGAAGTAAACTGCTTAATTGGTTCGATTAAGGTTTTGAGCCGCTATTACGGTTCGTCTTCTGTTGAAAAGTTTTAATTGTGTTTGCTGTTGGCTCGCTAACTGGTTTGTTCATGAAAAATATAAATGCTTGGATATCATGATTTTCTTCTTGGTGTATGAAAAAGAACTAGGAATTGGGGAACTTGTAGGAACTAATGTCTGTTGTGCTTTTGTTTCAACGTTAATGTGGTGACAGCTTATTGTTGAGGTTTCTTTTGCAGCTGCAGCTCTTCAAATCCATGCCTCTCACAAAATTCAATTGTTTCCAGTATTTCCTGCAAAAGAGTAGCTCAGTTTGATTGTCTACTGAGCAATTGGGGTAATTCAAGGAAAAGATGCCTTATGAAGCTTGCCTTGCGAAGGAATGGAAATCAGAGTCTTAAATACCAATTGGTTGGGTATAAGAAACTTAATCTGACATGTCGTAAGACAAGAAGAATGGGGCACCTTTTTCCCCTAGCATCTGCTGATGATGGTGTAACTGTCAACGGTAGTCCTTCTGCAAGTACCAGCAGTGATGTGGAGGAAATGAGAGTTAAACTCAATCAGTCGCTAAAAGGTGAAGATTCTGGTGATAAACTTGTTCAGTCTATACATGATGCAGCAAGGGTTTTTGAGGTGGCAATTAAAGAACAGGGTTCACTATCAAAGTTTTCCTGGCTTTCGACGGCCTGGCTCGGTGTAGATAGGAATGCATGGGTGAAAACACTGTGCTATCAGGTAGATTCTCATCCCCTCGAAGGTTATTGGATAACATGCATCATCTATCCACCTTTTTATTTTCCTGTTCTTCTGCTATTTAAATATGCATGTCTGGTTTATTATATTATGATGTAGAGGAGTTGGCCAATCAATGTTATAGAACATAAAACCTAATGCTAATTCTATGGTGCTACCTGGCTTTGTTCTTGAGAACATTCCAGTTGGATTTCAATTTTTCATTTTTGGTTGATTTGGGTGCATCAGTCAAACAAAAAGAACAATTATGATACCTTATTATTGTTCATCGAGGCCATTACTATTGTGGCACTTTCACTGGATCACTCTTAGCTCTTCAAACATGACATCATTATCAATATTTCTTCCACATCCACAAATTGCATTTGCACCATTCATAATGTTTTTTATGCTGGCATTGTCTCCCTTATTGACATGCTTATTGTTCTGCTGCAAGAGTTCTCTGCGTCTATCATCAAAACCATAAAAGCATTGCTGCTGCTGAGGCCTCGGCCACTGCAACCTCTATTACAACTATGTCCACCACCACCTGATTTCTTATAACTTTCATGTAAAGGCTGGGGGCACTCATCACTGTTCAGCTTTAACATAAACCAATGCAATTGTTGTGGTGCCCCTCCTCATTGCCATTTTGGCAGCATTAAATAATATATACATGAGTGATATGTTCTCTTCATTGGATTGTTCATTTTGGCGAACTGAGTTCCTGGTAAGGTCTTTGGAGTCCATTTTGAGGCCCAGGGATGATGCAGTTCTGAAATGCCTTTGCGGTCCATTGTTGATTGGGGTCTACTTTTTCTATATTGGCTTCTGTGTTTGTTTACTGTGATCTTTTGTGCAGACATTTTGTTAGAACTTTTTCTTATTTCTTATGAATTTGTTTCTGTTCTTTCTAATTGGCTCAAATAAATGTCTGGACTAACTTCTCTGCATATAATTGATCAGTGATCTGATGTGAATCATCTGTTCAACTGACTAACTTCCTTTCAGATGTCCAAAGTTGTTATTTTTTAATTCTTCACATTTTTTAACATTTATATTTAGTTTCTATACAACAAACAATATATCATACTTATTTTACCCTCATAGTAACTTTGGTTCTAAGTTCTCATAAATTTTTCCTAATTTTCTTCCATAAGGCTTCCTACATGCAGTTATTGTTGTCCTTTTCTTCTTTGGTATACTTTTTAGCAGACCCATTTATCGCATTGTTTTTCTGATTGTTGTTCTGATAATTTAGGTATGTGTATCAGCTATGTATTAGCTGCAGGAGTCTTACGTGTAGTCTTTTGGCTGTTGAGTTCTGCACTATTTTAGTCTAGAACATTATTTAGCACTTCTGATGTTTGTTGGATTTCTCAGGCTTCTGTTTATTCCTTACTACAAGCAGCACATGAGATTTCATCCCGAGGTGATTGTAGAGACAGAGATGTAAATATTTTTGTTCAAAGGAGGTAATGAATCATATTTTTTCAGATTGCCATTTCTTGTTTGGCTCATTCCTGTTATAGCTTCCAGAATCTTGCCTAATTTCTGTCCTCTATTTTGTTTAAATTTTTACTTCCCTGTTTTGATGTGTGCGAAAAATATGTGCAGCAGTTAAAAACTTTTTTGCATGTCTTTCATCAACATTTAACACTTTGCACGTCTTTTGTTCATGCAATAAGAATCCAAAACCTCTTTCCTATTTGTATCATTGGCCATTTTTGGTATTTCTAAATTACGTGGAGCAGGATACTTTGTCATTTATGGCTTACTTTTACACCTAGATTTGATAAGATTTTATAAACAGATTGGTAAAAACCTGCCCATTGTTTTCTGATAGATGCTATTGCTAACCATGCAATCAAACTTTTGGATTTTGAAGTTTTCTCCTGTATGCTATAGCTTCTTCTGTCTTTTTCATATTGCATTGGAGACCTTCGATTCTATAATTGCCATTTCTGTTTTATTACCATCTTCTAGCCAACCTTGACTGTGTAATTTATGTGCTGACTTATCTGCATTGGTTTCAACATACCTAGACTTTTGTATCTGTTTTAACCTTTTATTCGATGCAGTTTATTACGGCAATCTGCTCCCCTAGAGAGCTTTATCAGGGGTAAACTATCTGCCAAACAACCTGAAGCGTATGAATGGTTTTGGTCTAAGCAAGTTCCGTTAGTGGTGACATGTTTTCTTAATTATCTTGAAGAAGACCCACGCTTTACTGCTGCCACTGCTGTGTACGTTATCTCCCTGTTACTGCATGCTGATGTTTCCAGTAATAATAAGAATTTAATATCCATGCGAGAATAACATTGTTTAGATTTACTTCCAGGTTTGGAAAAGGCTTGTCCTTGAGTTCAGGAAATGGAAGTGATATTTCACTTCTTTTACTGGCACTGACTTGTAATGCTGCAATCACGAAACTTGGCCCCACAAAAGTTTCTTGCCCACAATTCTTTTCCATGATTTCAGATATAACTGGTAGATTGATGGATATGCTGGTTGATTTCATTCCTATACGCCAAGCTTATCATTCTATAAAGCATATTGGTCTACGCAGAGAATTTCTTGTCCATTTTGGTCCTCGAGCTGCAACATGCAGAGTAAAAAATGATCGTGGTTCAGAAGAGGTGATTTTCTGGGTTAATCTTGTACAGAAGCAGCTCCAGCGTGCTATAGATAGGGAGAGAATATGGTCAAGACTAACAACATCTGAAAGTATTGAGGTTAGTGCCGAGGGCTTATGTGCAAATTTAGAGTATAACTGGGGCTTTTCATCCTTCCAAGTGGTCCCTACTAATTTAGACCATGGTCAAGTGTAAAGTGTGAACCATCAGTCTCACGCCCCCATTCAGAAACATATCCTATATTGTGGGAGAAGAATTGATGGATAAGCCAAAATAGTTATTGGCATTTGTTGTTGTTTTGGTTTATGACATATGGAAGAAAAGGGGGAAGAAGGATAACAGTGAAATGAGGGGCTCTTTTACAGCACTGAAGAATAAATGTATAGTATGTGACATACACAGTACACTGCAATTAACTTTTCTCTCTCTATCAGTTTAATTCTGTAAATTGCTTTATTTTTGCTAGGTTTTCCAAGAAATAAGTGTACCTAGAAGCAATTTACAAACGAAAAGAAATTGTTTTCTAATTTTTCAAAGGCATGTTATCACTTGCACAAGTTTAAAAAACAATTCAAGCATAAAAAATAAACGCAGTTGATGAATTGTTGAGCCCTGAAGAATATCTAATGAAAAGTTTTTTGTTCTCTATTATGATTATGGGGCTACACAAATGGTTTTGTCTCCCCACAGAAACTGCTTCCAACTTTTTGTTGCTTGGCCTTGAACATATTTGAGGTTTCCCCTTCCACTTCACAAAGGAGGCAGTATACTTGTCTGAGCAGGCATTGGTCACAGCACTTTGGCATGCATGCATATGAATGATCGAAACATGTACATATATTTATTAAATTAACAATGAAATGAATAAACGTCTTTTTAATTAGGTAGAGCTGTTGTCAAATGCAGGTTTTGGAGAAGGATTTAGCTATATTTGGATTCTTTATTGCCTTAGGAAGAAGTACACAATCCTTTCTATCTGCAAATGGATTTGATGTTCTAGATGATCCTATTGAAGGTTTCATCAGGTAGCTCTTTTGTATCCATTCTTTTAACAATTCTTGACAAAGTTTGGTTTAGATTTCTTTAGCTTGGCCGTCTATCATTTTATGGGGCTTTGTTGCAGGTACCTTATTGGGGGTAGTGTTTTGTACTATCCTCAGCTTTCATCAATAAGCTCCTATCAGTTGTATGTAGAGGTCAGTCAGCATTCATATTTAGTAACTTTAGTGTTAAACATTCTGTCTCGTAATCAATAACATGATTTTCCAATTCCTTAGGTAGTCTGCGAGGAGCTGGATTGGCTTCCTTTTTATCCGGGCAACATTGGCACCACAAAACTGTCTCATGGACACAAAAATAAGCAAAAGGGTCCTCCAAATGCTGAAGCTATCCCCCAAGTATTAGACCTGTGCTCCCATTGGATGCAGAGTTTTATTAAATACAGTAAATGGCTAGAGAATCCTTCAAATGTTAAGGCAGCGAGGTTCCTTTCCAGGGGGTAATTGAACTTATGATGCTCTATTTATTGCAAAACAAAGAGTTATTCTTTGATTTAACAACATTTTCCACTTTCATTGTTTAGGCACGACAAATTAATGGAGTGCATGGAAGAACTGGGAATATCTCGGTAAGCTAATGGAAGCAAAACTGTCATTTCTCTGACATGCACATGAATCATACTTATAAAGACATAAAACTGGTCCAAAATTTATGAATAAGATGTGTATTCTGTGATAAAAAATAAATGCACTGCAACATGATTAAAAAACTTAAAAATACTAGTAATGGATTGAAATCTATAGAAACCAAAACTGATCCTCCATTGAGATTTATCTGGCATTTCAGTTTTAGATGCATTTCTATTGGCAGTAGCCAAGCAGTTTATTGACATTTTGACTTGAGCTGCATTTTTTCTCATAGACTCATTTCAGTTCATTTCTTTTTGTTTGTAAGGGGATGGTTTCTACGACTTTCAAGTCACGTTCACTCAACACTTTTTTAAAAAATGATTCATAGTTGCGGATTACCATTTACACCTAAAAAGTGTGATGCAGGAAAATGACAGAAAGCAATATCAATTATTCTGCTGAGATATCAGGACCTGAAATTAATTTGACCACTGATAAAGGGACAGATTCATTCAACAAGGTTTTTCTTTTTTCCTTTAGTTTATTTCAATGTGGCCTATTATTCTCAGATTATTTTGGAACTTGGAAAGCACAACTTGCCATATGAACATATTTGTCACTAGGATATCTTTTTCTGTGGTGTGGGTCTGAGGAGAGAGGGAGAGGCTGTGGCTGAAAGGAGGACAAATTAGAGAAGGGTAATTTGGTCTAATCAATGCAATAACATTGGCGAGGCTGCAAAAACAGCCTAATCCCTGGCTTAATGCTTAAAGTGCAAGACATACTTGGTTGTTTTGTTTACTTGTTGGTTGCAGCTTGCTCCTATAATTGATACTTAACCTCTGTACACGGGCTTCTGTTTAGACCAGTTGTCCCTGTTGTTGTTTCTGTTCTATATGCCAATTGAATAATTGTGCTTTTTATTTGGTGTTAGGCTTTGGAGAGTGTTGAAGGAGCTCTTGTGAGACTGGAAGAATTACTTCAAGATTGGCATGTATCAAGCTCTAATTCTGGGAAAGAGCATTTAAAAGCTGCTTGTTCTGATCTTGAGAAAATAAGGAAACTGAAGAAAGAAGCTGAATTTCTGGAGGCATCTTTCAGAGCAAAAGCAGCTTCGCTTCAGCAGGTATTCTAACAATTGTTAATACACCCTATAGCTTATTAATGACCACTGATTGCATTCCATTTGATTCACTGCTGGCCTGTACTTGCAAATGATTATGCTGCATTCTATACTCCAAAAAAGTGCACTGTAATTCCATTATAATCTTTTTTTTTTTTTAATTTTTTAAGGCAGCTTTACACCTCTGTGTTTATCAGACAGTTCTCATTTTTATTAAAATTTGTATACCTTGCTGACACTTAATTTCTGATTGGATCATCAGGGAGAGGATGAAAGTAGTCTACAATCTTCTATCAGTGAGCAGCAACAATACTTGAAAGCGAAAGGGAGGAAGAATGCTAAAAGGTGTGGAACTTCTGCTGTAGATTTAAGCTCTTCCCAACATGTTTAAGGGTTTTTTATTTTTTTATTTTTTATTTTTTTTAATGCTATTTTCTTATTTTTTTTCTTGCTTAATAGCAATTCCTTTCTTTTCTTTTCGCGTTGCCAGTAAAATGCAAGGACTGTGGAACTTCTTTGTGCTCTCTCCAACCAAGAAGCCTGGCCCTGATGCAGCAGTTGTAGATGCATCTGTATGCCCTTCCTTCACAATATGTCGACAATATTTAACTGTTTGTGGATGAAGTCTTTTTTAATGCAAACACTTTGAAAATTCCACTCTCAAACCTATTAAGCTAGTTTAAGGAATTTTTCTACATGAAAGCTTCTTGATTTAACTAGCTTAAAGGTAGATCCTTAGAAGAAAAACTAAAGTCAACAACATAGCTTTCTTTTGCGAAAGTAAAAATAAAAATACTCCTTATTAGCCATTTGATAAAAAGACGACCTTGAGCTGTTTTTATTCTTCTGATTTCCATTATGTTCTTTGACTTTAGGTTATTCTTGTTGAAGTGCCTCACTCTTAAGAAAAGGGAAATATTTAGGTACTGGCAGACATTTTTGTCCTAGAGGGTGTTTTTTGCTAGGTATGTTAGTGTGTGGTCCTTCGAATATAGATATTTACAGTATGGTTTCTGTAAGCATCATATTTCCCAATTTGAATTGTCAAGTTAAGGGCAGAAATTTTGGTTCATACCAAAGATAATAGTTGGAATTTTTCTTGGATTTAAATAAATTGACTTTACAAATAAGTACAGTTGGACTGGTTTGATTGTCAGCAAACAATTGATTGTACATAATGAATGATCTGTAAAAATGAATGGCAACATAGTCTACTGGTTAGATTTAGATGGTTAATTATCCTATTTTGAACCACTTATTGCTTGTAATGCCAATAATCAAAGGCCATCTTTTACTAGTCAAATGGAGATGGTTCAAATGTGTTCTACTAGCAAATCTCTATTATCAATGCAGTAGCTACTAAACCCAGAGCAATAAAAAGGGAAACTTTCTTTTAGACTGAACTTAATTTGTTTCCCTTAGTAGATAAATTTTGATGCACTTCTGCATATCTACCTCCTGTCAGAAATAAAGAAATTATTAATTTATACAACTTGCAAAACTTCAATTGCAACTCTTTCATGAGAACATCGTGTAGTATACTTTGGTATTCTACATTGTACATGCTGGAACTCTCGATTTTGATTTTGTTGAGCAAAAGTATACTAAAGGAGAGAGTAGCAACAGCATTAAACCTATTCATTAGGACTTTTTAATATTTAACATTCTTGAATAAGTGATGTCTGACAAGACAGTCTAAATTAAGATTGTTATAACATTACTTACCCATTTGATAGAATCTGCTGTGGTGCTTGGTTAGCTCCTATTTTCTTGCTAATATTGTGTTCTGAAGTACATTTTTTCCATTTGCTGCTAATTCATTTTTATTAAAATGGAAGTTATATTAAGTTGGTTTGGTAAATGCAGGGAGACACAAGTATTGGGAAAACTACTACAAGTATAGGTATTGGAGAGTCAGAATCCAATGAAATTCGTCGTTTTGAACTTCTAAGGAATGAACTGATGGAACTAGAAAAACGGGTTCAGAGAAGTACTGATCAATATGAAAATGAAGAGGTATGTCTCATGCTTTTTAACAGCTCCTATATAACATTTGAATGGTATAATGGTTTTGTCCTCCGTGCAATAAATTTCAGTGCATATGCTTGAACAATTGTAAAAACATGGAAAAATCTGATATGAAATGTGGGAAATAAATTTTGAAACATCATGAACTGGTAATATCCCACTGAAATGGGTAAGGACTTTTGTGAAGTAGCTGGTTGCTTGGCTTAATTTGCACCTTTATGGTTGCAAGTCCATAATTTATATTATTGCTCCAAGCAATGAACCCCATTGAGACCTTTTTTATTATTATTGTTTTTAACATGGAAAATTCCTTGCAGTCTATGATTTCTAAGAAATTAGAACATTCCTTACAATCTAGGATTTCTACAAAATTTTTGCCTTTTGTGACTTTATATAATTCAACCAGGTTTATTTATAGTGACTGCTGCCTACTATGTATCCTTGACTTTATTCCTATGCGGTGCTAATAATTGCTTATTTGTTTATGTTCAGGATATTAAGGTTACAGATGATCGTGCTAATTACCATGACGAGGCTGCAAGTTCTCAATTGATCCAGGTTGAAACGAATGACAATATCATTGAAAAATCACTTGTTAAGCTGAAGGAAACAAGCACGGTATGACTAGCACTTCTTTAGTAATTATTATAGTTTTTTACTTTTTTCAAGCTCAAGCATGTGGCATCACATCATTGAGTGGATATGACTACCTAACGTGCTGTGCTATGTTGGTGTTCTGTTTTTCTTATCAATTGAATTTACCATTCTTTGCACCTTTGCGTTTTGTGATCAAAATAATTTGGTTGGCTTGATGACAGTGCCATTTAATTGGTTTATTTAAAGCTAGATGAGTAAAGTACAAGTCATTCCAAGGCCAAAATATATTAACTGAGACAAACGCCTTGTTTCTGCTGGAACACTAAACATCTATTTGTACCTGTATTGGTTTTTGTGCAGGAATGCTACTAGGCATTGTGAAATAGATGCAAAGTAATGTTCATTTCTTTGAATTGTTGGGAAGAAAAATAGAACCTTAGGATTTGAAACACTCTCCTAGTTAAATCTTTAATATCTATTCTGTGACTGCTATCTGATGTATGGCATTTAGGTTTTTAATTTAAAACTCGCTCCGTGACTTCTTACTTCTCATGCGTAATATATATGGTTAAATATGCACAGGATGTCTTGCAAGGAACTCAGCTTCTAGCTATTGATGTTGCTGCTGCAATGGGTTTGCTTAAAAGGGTCTTGATTGGAGATGAGTTAACAGAGAAAGAAAAAAGCGCTCTCCGGAGAACTCTGACGGATTTGGCGTCAGTGGTTCCTATCGGCGTTCTTATGCTTCTTCCTGTAAGTCTCATCATTAAATTATCCTCATCAACTGTTTCTCATTTTAGCTGTCTCATCATCATCGTCTCGTCAATCTTCAAATTTATACAACTCTTTAGTGTCATGACTTCTCATTCATTCATCCAGTTAGCTTGGTTTGTCACTTCTCCTTCAATTATGGTGCAATTTGGTACTGGTAAATGAAATAAAGCTTTAGGATAATCTGGTCTTAGAAACATTCATCCCTGGTGTTATTTATGGATATATAGATTTGTATTTGTCTTCATTGCAGTTGCATTATTTCTGTGGCATAGCTTGTGGATCACCCTTTCTATTGCCACACTGTTTGAGAAATCGAGTTGTCAACTTTCGTATATTTAGCCGGTCTAGAGCCTGACCAAGCTTCTTTCTGGTATATATTGATATAGTAGTGTGTCAAACACTGTTACTTCTCATACAAGTTTAAAAAAAAAAAGAAAAAGGGATGGATGCCTCAAATTTCCAAGCATAATTACAATAGGTTGGTTAGTTGCAAGTGCACCATTAAGGTACAAGTTGGCCAGTTTCATTTCAAGTTTACAATCCGACTTGCCTTTGGATCTGGGTTGATTCTGTGGTTATTTTTTATTGCTACTAAGTTCACCTTCGCCACATTAAAGATTATTTTGAAATTGTTTTGAGTGCAGAATTATGGGGGTTAATGATATGTGGCATAGTTTTAAATTGCGGACTTGGTTGTAAAAATGGTCTCGATTGCCTTTGCGGGTCCTGGTTTATCGCTGTAGTAAAATAACGATCATGGCAACCGATATCGTGAATGCATTAACAACTGTTAATAAATTTATTCTAAAATAAAAAATCAAAAGTATCTTTTTTTTTCTTGAACAACTATATAACGGCCATTATTTGTGTGAATTGGGGTTATGACGTGTATAACGGCAAAAATTGGTAACGGTCTTGGCTGATTCCGTTCAATAACATTATGGCCATTATTTGAAACTAGGATATGTGGTCCTCAGAACTGAGTTTCTTATTACAGCTGGCAAAATGAATTGCATATTCCCAAGAACTTCAATCCAAATATGTGAGATATTGCATGTTTGCAGTTTACATCTGTTTGTGCTGTTTTTTCCACTGTGACATAACGTAGAAAGGGTATTTGTGCATCGTAGGTTACTGCTGTGGGACATGCAGCAATGTTGGCTGCTATCCAGAGATATGTGCCAGCTTTGGTGCGTTGGTTTTGAGCCAATAACTTCCTTTTTTTTTTTTTGTCCTTTAGATGTCAAATCTGCAATTACCAGGGAATAATAATATGTTCTTTGGCAGATACCATCCACATATGGACCAGAAAGGTTGGATCTCTTGAGGCAGCTTGAGAAAGTGAAGGAAATGGAAAGCATTGAACTGGATGCAAAAGAAAATGGAGAGGTACTATCCTGATCAGAAGCAGCGCATATTATGTACAGCCCCAACAGAGACAAAACGTTCAAGATGAGGTAACTAGGAAGTTATGTTATCTTATATCACTTGGTTCTGAATCCCATTGACAGTAAATTAGCATATAAAATTTCATTCCATATGTCCGGTATTCCTGGTAGGCACCAATGACTGCAGTCCTGTGGAGCACCAACAGGCGTGCCTGGCTCAAGATGGTGAGAAGGGTGACCATCATACCTGAACTGCGAAAAATGCGTAATGTTTAAGAACTGAACCTTCCTGTCTCCATAATCCATCTCTTTGATTACAGTAGAAATGATTTGGTTATGCCCTGGCTCAGGTTCCAGCATTGTGTATGTTGTCTCTTGTTGTCTAGCCACAGCACATTGACCCCCGTCATCCCACGTACCATTCCTGCAATTTTTTCATATTAAAAAGATTGGACTGACATATTACCCCAACGTGTAATCTGGATTGTATGTTAATCCGGGTCTACACTTCCTAGCTGGAATTGCGCCAAGATTATTACCTGTAATGTTCTGGGGAGTAGCCGCCACGGAAAAAAAAACATAATTTCTTTCAGGGTTTAAATTCTCACTCCATGGCTTCCATGTTTGTAGAGATTTTTGAAATGCTTCCATCACGTTCTACGACATATTCACTTTACCTCCGTCCCCAAAATGGTAACCCCTGCATATACCAAGTAGTCATTTTCTTTCACGCAGCTTAACGTTGTTGTGAGAAATAAATATAGAAACTGCAAAATAAGGGAGAAACAGCTCATGCATCTTGACAGTTTTGTCTTAATTCCGGCGATGCCACTTGTTGAACACTAGGACATCAGCACCAGTGTAAGTGGTCGACCTCATGGGTCATTTTGATGCCAGCTGGTGAATTCTGAGGTGGGCGACCAGTGAATACCAGGAAAGGTGCCCTGTAGTATTCAACTGTGAGATTGTATTCACCGAAGCGCATGGAGAGAAATCCCATGTGTTTAGTTATGGGGTTCCCGTTCTATTCATATATAGACCAGTTTGAAACTCCCTGAGCAAGCATGCAAAGGAAAGACTCCCACTGGTTTCTGCCAACAGAGTCCCCAGCAAACACAATCCTTCCATTTCTACTTCTTTCTAGAAGTTCGCTTGCGTTAAATCTGAAAAGAAACCAAAGGAACACAAAGGAGAAAAATCTAATGTATAAGCTGCAGATTGTGTAAGCCCTGTACGAGTTTCTTCGTGGACAATGGATTAAGGCTGGATTGTTATTTCGGGGAGGGCGGACCTCCTTGAACTAAATAGATGATGAAATGCGAAGGATGCGAAAAAATGATTCGGTTACAGATTGTCAAATATTTACCACGTACGTATCTAGATGTTCCCAGTTCATCGAAACTCCTCGAGAAAATTCAAATTTGAAAACCTAACCCGAGATAATGTATTCATTCTGCCAACTTATTATCTAGATGATTTTATATATATTTGCAAGAGAAAACTATCACTACACTACAAAATTTTTAGTTATTTCATTTGAAATATCATTGTAATATTGCTGATGATTAATTACGTACAGTTTCCAACAAATTTTAGCTAGCAATCCAGTATATGCCGGTACAGTCTCGTGAAGAATTCAAATGGACAATTGGCAACACACTAGAACGGACAAAGAGCCATTAAAAGAAGCATCTGTGCATGCATGACAAGGCATCTTAAGCTTTCATGATAAGTTTCCATACCTTGGTATGCAGCAGCCTTGTGGCTGCCATCGCCAATTCAGATGCGATTTTAACTTCCATTTTGAACACATCGAAAGCCAGGATCAAGAAATGGCCAGTTTGATATATGATTGATTCTTGTAACTTTCATCCCGAACTCATCTTCCATGAGAATAATCACAGGCTACGTTTGATAATTTTTCATTCTTCAGTAAGATTTGCGACAAGAAACCAAAACGAAAGACTGATTGTGGATATATATCAAAAGGGCAAAAAAGATCAAAGACAAAGAATGAAAACGCTGAGACAATAAGAAAAGAGATTGCATAGACAAGTTCTCTCTTGATTATGAGAGAAAAATAAAGAAGTTGGTGTTTTTGGTGGGCTGGTGATTATGATCCATGAGAGAAAGAAAGGATATGTTAATTGGTCATTAAAATGCGAGAATTAGGAATGATGTGATAGCGGATTTGCTTTTATCTTTTTTAGGAATATACAGTGTAGATGGCAAGGATTCCCACTTTTGTGGTATTTCTTAAATTTCATGTTTCCTATCACGTCTTTCGCTGTATCTGCAACTACGTTCATTGCATGTTTAAGCCTAGTCTCTCTTTAATATATATCTATTTTTATTTTATTTTTCAATCATAATAATAGATTCTGTTATTACTCGCATAATCATCATGATTACGGAAACAAAATAAACCAGCATTAAGCTGCTGGGCCCACCCCGACCCAACCCAGCTTAAGCAAAGCGACATCGTTTTTTCCCCTCTAAAACTTCATTCATCCTCCTGCAAAACAAAAATTATAAATTAGTCCCTCTAGGTTTCAAAAAATAAATTAATTAATTTTTTTTAAATTATTATTTAATTCTTTAATTAGTATTGATCATACTTAATTTAATATTATTTTTATTCTATAAAATTTCTTATTTTCTCATCAATTTTTTCTATTTCTTAAAATAAAAAATTAACTAAATTATTAATAGATTTCAAAATATAAAAATTAAATAATTAGTTTTTAAAAAGTTTTTTCAACTAAGAGGAACTAATTTATAATTAACCATGCAAGACAACGTCACGCCGGAACGTACCGTTTTTCGTTTCGTTGATTGATAAGTGGCAGTTCCGGCTGTTCGGGTCACCAGAAGGACTGAAAAGAAAAAAGAATGAAGGTGAGAGTAGTGTGTATTTACGATTTGAAAGAAGTACCATTCCCTTCTTCCTTACCTGATCTTCCTCAAATCCAAAAGCGTCCTAAATTGACTTGGCGCGAACATCTTTTTGTAAGTTCTTTTCTTTGGAATGTTCTGTTTTTTTTTTTTTCAATTTGTTGAATTCTATTCCATGTAATACAAGTAAAAAATAAATAAAAATAGATATTGAAGAAGACAACGAGGCTTTATGCGGCTAGTGGTGAGAGATATTGGTCCTGATCTTAGGCCTCTTGATTCTGCAAAAGATAATGATGATAACGAAGCCAGTGATGGAGCTAAGAGCACTGTTCTGCTCAACAAAAAGAGCCCTCTGTTTTTCAAGATCTTGGTCTGTTCTTCCCCCTCTTTCTCTATCTCTTCCAATTTGGGGAATTTAATAGTTAAGAAGTATTCGTACTTTCTTTTGCAAATGGGTTTGGTTGGAATCATATAGTATAATATGGTATAGTATACTGCTGGTTTATGCATACCTAGTGTTTGAAGTAGTGTTGCATTGAAATTGTTAAAATTTAGAGGTTTTTGTTGGTAATTTGGAAATTAGCATTGAACGCTTTTAGAATTAATTCCATTGCAAATATCTACTTGGTGCGTCTTGCTGCCTTCAGAATTATGTGGGTGAGTTGAATTTGTGAGTTGTGTGGACATTGAATCCAATGACATTTGTTGATGATGAACTGTTGCTCGATGGCTTTTCGGTCTGGGACCTTTGATATTTGAATCCTCTGCCATAAAAATCTTACTCGGGCTTTTTCTGTGACGTTGATTTCTGATGTTTCTAGCTTTGTGCACACCATTATAACAAACTGATACCGTATGTAACACTCAAGTCAGTCTTGAAATTGGGTGCCGGTGTTTTGAAATTGTTTGAGTGCAGAATTATGGGTGTTGATGATATTTGGCATAGTTTTAAATTGCCGATGTGGTTGTAAAAATGGTCTCAACCGCATTTGTGGGTCGCAGTTTATCGCGGTAATAAAACAACGGTTATGGCAACCGATGTCTTGAATGCATTCTAAAGTAAAGAATCAAAAGTACCTCCTTTTTTTTTTTTTTTGAACAGTTATATAACGGCCATTATTTGTGTGAATTGGGGTTATCCCGTGTATAATGGCAAAATCAGTAACAATCTTAGCTGATTCCGTAAATGATATTACAGGCATTATTTAGAACTAGGATGTGTGGTCCTCAGAACTGATTCTTACAGCAGATGGCAAAATGAAGTGCATATTCGCAAGAACTTCAATCCAAATATGTGAGATATTGCATGTTTGCAGTTTACATCTGTTTGTGCTGTTTTTTCCACTGTGACCTAATGTAGAAAGGATAATTTGTGCATCGTAGGTTACTGCTGTGGGGCATGCAGCATTGTTGGCTGCTATCCAGAAATATGTGCCAGCTTTGGTGCGTTGGTTCTGAGCCAATAACTTCCTTTTTTGTAACTTTATCCTTTAGATGTTAAATCTTCAATTACCAGGGACTTATAATATGTTCTTTGGCATATACCATCCACATATGGACCAGAAAGGTTGGATCTCTTGAGGCAGCTTGAGAAAGTGACGGAAATGGAAAGCATTGAGCTGGATGCGAAAGGAAATGGAGAGGTACTATCCTGATCAGAAGCAGCGCATATTGTGTACAGCCCCAACAGAGACAAAACCTTCAAGCTGAGGTAACTAGGAAGTTATGTTATTTCATATCACTTAGTTCTGAATCCCATTGACAGTAAATTAGCATATAAAATTTCATTCCATATGTCTGGTATTCCAGGTAGGCACCAATGACTGCAGTCCTGTGGAGCGCCAACAGGCGTGCCTGGCTCACGATGGTGAGAAGGGTGACCATCATACCTGAACTGCGACAAATGCGTAATGTTTAAGAACTGAACCTTCCTGTCTCCATAATCCATCTCTTTGATTACAGTAGAAATGATTTGGTTATGCACTGGCTCAGGTTCCAGCATTGTGTATTTTGTCTCTGGTTTTCTATCCACATCACATCGACCCCCGGCATCCCATGTACCATTCCTGCAATTTTTCATATTAAAAAGATTGGACTGACATATTACCCCAATGTGTAATCTGGATTGTATGTTAATCCGGTTCCACACTTCCTTGCTGGAAGCGTGCCTAGAATATTACCTGTAATGTGCTGGGGAGTAGCCACGGAAGAAAACATAAGTTCTTTCAGGGTTTAAATTTTCACTCCATGACTTCCATGTCTGTAGAGATTTTTGAAATGCTTCCATAACGTTCAACGATATATTCACTTTACCTCCGTCCTCAAAATAGTAACCCCTGCATGTACCAAATAGTCATTTTCTTTTACGCAGCTTAACTTTGTTGTCAGCAATAAATATAGAACTGCAAAATAAGGGAGAAACGTCTCATACATCTTGACAGTTTTATCTTCATTCCACCAATGGCCCGTGTTGAACACCAGAACATCAGCGCCTTCCCACTTTCTGGAGAACCAGTGTAAGTGGTCGACCTTAAGGGTCATTTTGATGCCAGCTGGTGAATTCTGAGGTGGGCGACCGATGAATACCAGGAAAGGTGCCCTGTAGTATTCAACTGTGAGATTGTATTCACTGAAGCGCATGGAGAGAAATCCCTTGTGTTTAGTTATAGGGTTCCCGTTCTCTTCATATATAGAAGACTTGTTTGAAACTCCTTGAGCAAGCATGCACAGGAAAGACTCCCACTGGTTTCTGCCAACAGAGTCCCCAGCAAAGACAATCCTTCCGTTTCTACTTCTTTCGAGAAGTTCACTTGCGTTAAATCTGAGAAGAAACCAAAGGAACACAAATGAGGATAATCTGATGCAGAAGCTACAAATTGTGTAGCCCTGCACTAGTTTCTTCGTGGACAATGGATTAAGGCTGGATTGTTTTTTTGGGGTGGGCGGACCTACTTGAACTAAATAGCCGATGAAGTGCTAAGGGTGCGAGAAAATGATTCGGTTACAGATTCCCAATATTTACAACGTACGTATCTAGATGTTCTCCGTAATCTGTTGTGTCGGTGGTGGCTCTCAATCGGAACAAGTACGATGTATATATGGTCAAAAATCCTAAATAACAGTTGCAGGGACATAATGGAGTGATGCTGATAGAGAGGGTCTCATGCACTGCACGTGTAATGAAAAGGGTATAAAGCTTCTGTCTCCTAAAACAGTAAACGAGTACACCTGTCCAAGTCTTCACAATATAGTTCATCCAAATCTCACGAGAAAATTCAAATTTGAAAACCTAACTCAAGATAATATATTCATTCTGCCGACTTATTATCTGGATGATTTCATTTGAATTGTCACTGTAATGTTGCTGATGATTAATTACGTACAGTTTCGAACAAATTTTAGCTAGCAATCCAATATATATTGGTACAGTTTCGTGAAGAATTTAAATGGATTTGGCAACACGCTAGAGCTGACAAAGAACCATTAAAAGAAGCATTTGTGCATGCATGACAAGGCATTTTAAGCTTTCATGATAAGTTTCCATACCTTGCTATACCACAGCCTTGTGGCTGCCATCGCCAATTCAGATATTCTATATCTTTTCTTCCATTTTGAACACATCGAAAGCCCGGATCAAGAAAGGGGCAGTTTTCTGTGTATGATTGATTCTTGTAACTTTCATCCCGAACCCATCTTCCATGGGAATAATCACATGCAACGTTTGATAATTTTTTATTGTTGGATAAGATTTGTGACAAGAAACCAAAACGAAAGACTGATCGTGGATCAAAAGGGCAAAAAAGATCAAAGACGAAGAACGAAGAAGTTAAGACAACGAGAAAAGAGATTGCATAGACAAGTTCTCTCTTGATTATGAGAGGAAAATAAAGAAGTTGGTGTTTTTGGTTTTTGGTGGGCTGGTGATGATGATCCATGAGAGAAAGACAGGATATGTTAATTGGTAATTAAAATATATAGGAGAATTAGGGTTCATGTGTTAGTGGATTTGCATTTATCTTTTTTAGGAATATATAGTGTAGATGATTAGATCATGAGATTATCCGTGATCATAAAGAAAGGCAAGGTTTCCTACTTTTATGGTATTTTTAAAATTTCATGTTTCCTCTAATGTGTGTTTCGTTGTCGTTGCAACTACGTTCCTTGCATGTTTAAACTTCGTCTTTTTTATATATATATATATTTTTTTTAAAATCTATTTTTATTTTATTTTCAATCATGATAATAGATTCTGTTATTACTCATGTAATCATCATGATTATGGAAATAATCCAGTATTAAGCGCTGGACCCACCCCAACCCAACCCTGCTTAAGCAAAGCGTCGTCGTTTTTTTTTTTTTTTTCCTTAAAACTTCACTCGTCCTGCTCAAAACAGCATCATATCGGAACGCACCGTTTTGTGTTTCCCTGATTGATAAGTGGCAGTTCCGGCGGTTCCTGCAGTTCAGTCTTCCCTTCTCAACAGAAGGACTGAAAAGAAAAAAAAGAATGAAGGTGAGAGTAGTTTGTAGAAAAGCGTACGATTACGTTCGTTACGATTTGAAAGAAATAGCATTCCCTTCTTCCTTGCCTGATCCTCCTCATATCCAAAACCGTCCTAAATTGACTTGGCGCGACCATCTTTTTGTAAGTTCTTTTCTTTGGAATGTTCTTTTTTTTTCTTTTTTTTTTCAATTTGTTGAATTCTATTCTATATAATTAAAGTAAAAATTAAATAAAAATAGATATTGAAGAGGGCAACGAGGCTTTATGCGGCTAGCTGGGTGAGAGATATTGGTCCTGATCTTAGGCCTCATGATTATGCAAAAGATAATGATGATAAAGAAGCCAGTGATGGAGCTAAGAGCACTTCTTCTGCTCAACAAGAAGAGCCCTCTGTTTTTCAAGATCTTGGTCTGTTAATCCCCCCCCCTCCTCTCTCTCTCTATCTCTTCCGATTTGGGGAATTTATTAGTTAACAAGTATTCGTATTTTGTTTTGCAAATGGGTTTGGTTGGAATCACATAGTATCGTATAGTATACGGCTGGTTTATGCATATTTAGTGTTTGAAGTAGTGTTATATTGAAATTGTTAAAATTTGGAGTTTTTGTTGGTAATTTGGAAACTGGCATTTGATGCTTTTAGAATTAATTCCATTGGAAATATCTACTTGGTGCGTCTTACTGCCTTTAGAATTATGTGGGTGAGTTCAATTTGTGAGTTGTGCTGACATTGAATCCAATGAGATATTGTTGATGATGAACTTGCAGTGTATTTAGTTGGGGTGGGTCTGAGATATATAGATGAAACCAGCGCCCTTGGAGAAAGAAGGAAGCTATAATCATGTGCATCTCTGTTGCTTGGTGGCTTTTCGGTCTGGGACCTTTGATATTTGAATCATCTTCCATAAAAATCTTACTTGGGCTTTTTCTGTGACGTTGATCTCTGATGTTTCTAGCTTTGTGCACACCATTGTAACAAACTGATACCATATGTAACACCCAGTCAGTCTTCCTAGAAACAACAATCAAAAGACTAAATCCTCCCTGTGTTTGTATTGTGTTTTTCACATTTCTATTCCTTATGGTCATTTCCTTGTAGGTATGATTGTTTTCTTAAACAAGATGACCTGAGGTCTCTCTTATCCCTCAACTGTCTTCATTCTTTTTCTGAACCTCTGATTTGTTGCATTAAATTCGGATTTTTTTTTATTTTTTATTTTTAATGTCAATGAAATTATCAGCGGTGGCTGCAAGGGGAGGTATGGAGACATTAAGACCTGCTTTACAACGGGTGTACATGACAAGAGCTTCTGCATATAGAGATGCTCTCAAAAGTTTTATACAAGGGTATCAGGAAGGTGTCCAGCAGGTCATGGAGAAGAAGGAAGAATCTAAAACTCAAACAGAGGGCAAAGCTCCCAAGAAATCTACATGAGCCAATATTCTAGTGGAGCGATGGAAGTTTTTCTCCTGAACATCAACCATGGATGCAACCCATAGAGCTTTTCTACAACTTCACTTTTGAAAAGTTACTATCCTAGTGGAAAGAATGGAAGAAAAGTTTATATCATGCTCTAATCCCGTTCGAGGGTTCTATTGTACAATATAACTATGAATATGCTCTATCTTTTGTGCTTGTACCATATGGAGACATATTCCATTGACAATTCTGACTGCTGAAGTTTTTTACTTTGTTGATTTGGCTTATCACATTGTATGGTTTTAGCATTCTTGACGCTCCTAACTTTCTGAATCATTTCTGGCGTCTGATTTTTTGGATGACCAGAAAGACAACGGTTTACAAATACAGCATGTGGCGTGGAACGTTGTGATTCTTTTTGTTCTTTCTCGCTCCTTTTCCATTCTGGGACATTGGGCATATTAACAGGCTTATTCTATCCTGGGTCTGTCTACCTATACAAGGGATTATATATGGGTAGTTGACCTCAGCAACCAACCTGGTCGAATTTTTTGTTCTACTCGCTTGAAATGAAATTGAGGATATTTCTAGCAAGAAATATATCGGCTAGTTGATGCTGGGTTGGCTAATAAATCAAGTTTATGCGAGGCTTAGTCTTTTTTGAGGTCTAACTCTCAACATTTTGACCTAAAAAAGGTAATTTCTCGATGAAAGGGATACAGGCAACAAGATTCTGGAAGTACACACTTTATGTAAACTGAGCGCAGTGCTCCTCTCAGCCCTATTGAAAGGGAAATAACGTAAGTTATACTTTTGTACCATCTACCATTTTATTTATTCTCTTCAATACTCTTTTTTTGCCTCCTACTTTTCTTCCGCTTTCTCTGCTAACAGGCTGAGGATCATGCGAGGGCAGAAGCATCGAGTTTTGAATGTAAAAGAAGAGGTGGCAATTCTTACTTCTTGGTTGTCGAATGTGGGCTATAATTGAGAACATGCATTCGAACGATATGCACCACCATATAATGATTAAACTTTTGTGGTGCCTCTTGTCAATATGCTTTTAATTATCTGGTATATTTAGGATCCTTCCTTGTCATAGGATAGGATGATATTTGTTTCTTTCGGCAGACTTTCAAGTCAAATCATCTCAGACTGGACCAGTTATGACATGGTATCATTTTTAGCTTTTGGAAAATTTGATGATGGCAGAATATTTGGCTCGCATGGCACAAGTGTGAATCAACTTAGTGCAGTATATAGGGAGAAGATGAGAAAAGGAGGATAAAGCAAGATTTGCTTAATGTGGAACTAAATACACTTTTGGCTCCAGGATAGGAAGTTGGCTCTAGCTAATGGCCAGTAGCCCCACTATTACTGAAATGGGAAGTTATGTTGAGATAGTTCTAGTATAATAGGGCAGAGTTTCTATTATAAAGGGTCTATTATGTCGGCAGTTTTTCTTCTCCAGCCCCCTGTTTGATGACTGGGTTTTTCTTCCAAGTCTTTTCAAGCAAATGGTCTCCGCTTTAAGTCTTCTCAGGATGATAATATGATAATTAGTCCATCCAATAACTGGAATCTTCCTGCTTTAAGAAATATATGAATTGATATGTTTCTTGTCTTGCAGCTAACCATTTTTTCAAAATTAAGTTGTATTTAAGTGTTTTTTCGGTGATTAGTTGTTAAGATCTGTTTTGCGGACTTTGTAGAGTTTTTGTGTGAAGACATATAGTTCTCACCAAATTTAAGGTTCTCTTTACATTTTCTGTGCTTTTTTACGGTGCCTTTGGTGGTGTCAGTACTAAATCAACAGAACCATTACTTGTTTTTATTCTCAGGTTACTCCAGTTGCTTAGGGTGTTCCTTTCAAAGGAGGTGAGCTTGAGGTTGATCCAAGGACTCCGAAAGCAAAAGCTTGATAAGGAAAAATGTAGTGGAATGAAGAAATACTCACATGATGTTTCTATATTCGAACTGTACTGAGTCATGCATGATGGAATTATTCTTACATGACAAACCCATCACCCAGGACCAGTCCCTTCATTCCCTTGATTGGCCACTGTCTGTATACCAATGATAACAACACTAATTTGGGGGCCATCCCACTTGCTGAGCACTAAACACTGGACACCATCGCTAGCGGAGGTCAATGGTATCTCTCTCGTTTGAATCTTAATGGGCCATGATAATCACATGACACCGTTATTGTTCATTCACTCAGGTAATGCACGTATCTCTGCATATCTTTTCCTGCTCAATTTATTGGCGAATTATATTGTCCTTTCTTAGTTCACTTGCAAGTTGTGTTGAGCATGTCATCACATAATTAAGCCTGTGGTCATTCTCTGCACAGAGTGATCCATCGTCTGGAGTTTGTTTTGGTACCTAAATAGGTAAAAGCCTTTGGTCACATCTGGATTAGCCGCAGACACAGTAATCTAGTACATGTTTGAGCCTTAATACTGTCAATGTCTCAAATTTTGCTTGGTTCTAATTGGCTTGGTTACTGATTAGGGTATTTGAATGGACATAGGAAATAAATCTTTAATCATTTGCCATCAGGTTGTCCTAGCACGAGATGTCTTTTCCAAGGGGAAAAGGGTATAAAGCATAAAGAATTTAAGTCGTGGAGAATGGGTGCTGTGGACAAAACGAGAAAGTTCAAAGGTGAGATAAAGTCAACCACCGCAATGCATGATCTCCTGTTAGTTTGATTGCATGATTTGGTTACATGAAGCCAATCACTTGCCTTAGGATTGCTTCTATAATCATGCTGGCTGGGCCTATCGAGTGACTTCCTTGAACGGACCCCCATCCATTGTGGCATAGTGTCTGGAGCTCCTTTCTGCAGTGAGTCGTTTTAGAAACTAAAATTTAGATTGTAGGAACCTGCAGTCTTAAGCATGCTTGGGATCTAAATTATACACCTTATGTCATTGGAAGTACAACTCAAATTGGTCTCATTCCCAAACTAGTTGATCTTGGTTAAATCTTCTCCGTGTCAACTTTTTATGCATCCCTTTGGAACCTAGTTACTTTATATTTGCTCCTGTTTTGCTGTCTCTGCTTCCCATGTGTATAATACACATAAGGGCCACCTTGAATGTACCGAATACACCTAGCATGTGGTTTTGTCAACACGTTTGTCCTACGAACACCAATGATTTAGGGGTTGTAAGCAAAAGGGTGAAAAGAAATGGGAGGGTATTTGATCACATCTTTCTAGTTTTTAGTTGGAAAAAAAGGGGTGGGGAATTAATTTGGAAGTAAACATGCACAGGACTATAGTTTTAAAAGTGCATCGACATAGCTTCTGAAATGACTTTAGGTGAGATGAGGAAGTAAACATACACATATCTCGTCACATCTTATGAAGTCGGGGGTTAAATTTTGCTCAGTGCATTGACACCAACAATAATCATAACCAGTGATGGGTGAAGAAGTTATATGTCTCTGATGAACTTTAGGTGAGATGAGGAAGGTGGCAGCGTGGCACCCATTGAGTATCCAAGGGAGGAGTTTTTGATATGGTTTGGTTTATCCTCTAGATATCCGCGGGGAGAAAGATCAAACCAATAGATAAATAGTGATGGGAAGGGTTACAGTAACTTTTAAAGGAAGTTTAGCCTCAGAGAAAGTTCAGCTTGTGATTTGTATACGAAGGCAAGGGTGGCCCTTCTCCCTTCTGAACTTCACTGAACAAGTTTTACTTCCACAAGAAATTAGAATTCTCATTTTAATCTGAACCCTCTATAAAACAAGATATAGAGATCTGATAGCTTCGCTATGTGATTAAATCCTTGAGAAAATCTTAATTAAGTTGATGCTCAGCTTTGAATTGAGTGTCTCAAGGAAACTTGACTGTAGAACTGGGAGAGCAAAAGATAGATAGTTGCCTATGCTTGCCTAATCCAATCATTGGACAAAGGGAATTCTTATAATTAAATTCCCATTGAAATCTATCTTGCATCAGTGCATGTGCTTAGAAACTGTTTGGGTTTGACTACTTTTTTTTAACCTTGTACTCTTCTGCTACTTTTCTTCAATTGAACATATTTTTGCTACCTTCAAAGATGACACCTTTACAGATACGCAATCCATAATTTGTTACTCATACATTGGTTCTTGTCAACTCACTCTCGGTTCTTCAACAACATTTTCAAATCACAACAAAGACCAATATTTCAGAAATTTTACTAGCATTTTCCGTGATTTGCAATAAATTGCAATTTTCAGATTTTAAATATAAAAGAAAGGAATAAAGAAAAGGAAGAGAGAGCATGCTCTTTCTGTCTTTCTTAGCTTCTCCCTATGTCAACCACAGTTGAGCATCAAAAACAGCTTAGATAGATTAAAAAAACTAAAATAAAATAAAACAGAGAAGAGAAGAGAGAGAGAAGAGTGGGCTGGTACTCCTGGGCTGTCATCCATCTATTCAAAATCCACCCACTCAGCCACCCACCAGCAGCCACCACCATACCCTCTTCCATTATTATGATTATGAGCAGCTACGAAAAATCTTCAGGCAGAATCTCAACAGTGGCCAAATAGATTCCTTACCCCTCCCAGATTTCTCAATTTAAAAATCACCCCACAAAATATTTTTTTTCCCCATTTGGCATTTCTGATGTCAGCAATGGCCCTTTTGTCCATTTTGGGCCCTACCTCCCATCCCTCCCTCCTATCTGTAGTAGTAGACTGGTAGTCTATGTCAAGAGTATATTTTTCCCTCTCCGCTCCAGATCCTCACATCCTCCAATTTGCTTCCCTCTCTCTCTCTCTCTCTCTCTCACCACCTGGCTTTTAATGAGCACCTGAAATTGAGGGATATTTCTTCTTTTCTTTTCAGTAAAGAAAAAACAAAATAATATATAAATATATACTTTTTCATAGTAATTTTTTTTTTTTTTTTTTTTTGACCTTCCAATTCCAACTTCGAAGTGGGGGTTTTCAATTAAGTCAAATCCAGGGATGTCACATCCACAGGTCTTATCCTCGGCGATTTCTCATCTGGTTAACATCTCGGGAGAAAGTGATATCCTGTTACAATCACACAAATTGTTTGCAAAATTGTAAAATCATCATTACTTCCAATTTTATATACTAATAACGCATCAACGAAGTGATTTCTCTTATCTTCTAGTGCATCTCATATGCCTAACTTTTATAACATACCTAGTTGACATTCCGTTATTTGAAGCTTTATTCATAATTTTATTTTATCTTTAAGAAAGAGCTTTATTCATAATTGTTACACCCTAAAGTGTACATTAATATTCTCATTGGTGTTTATTAATTTTCTAGCAAAATAATGTCTGTATCATTTATATTTGATTAATGCTTTCTTAGTGTGTAATTAACTAATAATGCTAGCAAGAATGGTTTTTGGTTTAATAACGCATGGGATAAGATAACTGAAATTATTAGTGGTTCCAAATGGAAAGGGAATTTTGAAAAGTGATCTAACTTTTTCTTGGTGTGGGGTTGAAGGAAAATAATGGATTTCACATTTTTCAACTTTACAAGCAAGAGAAGAGGCCAATTCCAAAGCAAACTGTGTCATTATTTTAGTTAGTTCGGCTTGGTCGGCATGGTTTTTCGTGTCTTGATTCAACTCTACCTAGAAAAAGCACAAACAAAAGGCACTTCATGTTGTATGTTTAGGGCCCCCATTAATCACATTCATCGATCGATTCAAACTGACAAATTTTGTGGGCAATCGCTATTCACAAGATTGTCCATTTTTTTCTTTCATCTGTGGGCAGCAATCGTTGAATTAATGTTCAAAATAAATTATATTTGAATGATTAAACTGAACATGTCAATCACGACTTCACGTCTTCACGTCTTATTTAATTTGTAGATTCTAATAATGTAAAAAATATTTTAACTATTTTTTCCTTTCTTTGGTTTTTTTGGGTGCGCCCTCTAATGGCGCCCCTTACGTAAACAAATTCTCCTGAGCTACCAATCATGATTCAAACTAGTCTAATGCAATTTGGACATGTGCCAGGGACAATCTACTTGGCATCGCTAATCATGCATCCGTTTTTATTATATAATAATCTGTCTCATGATAAGGAAACACCAAAATCAAAATTAACTAGTAAAAAAAAGAAAGTAAGATCAGTCACATCTTAACTTCCATTTCAAGCAAATTATAGGGTCATATGGCTTACCATTTGACCATGAGTAGTGTCTGAAGAAGAAGCAGATGGAGGGTAGAATTGTCGGTGTCCCGGACCCTGCAGGCTAGACAAAGATGAACCTTCAGGTGTTGATGGCTCATCAGACTCATCAAGCTGGCACTCCAAGTTCACCCCAAATAGCCTCAGCCTCTTCGAGTTCCCTAGCTGTGCTGCCTGGTTCTGTGCAACAGACCCTGCAACAATTAAGGATGCAAAACCATATAGCAATTTGGTTCAGCAATAAACAGTAACATTAATTCATTTTCACACAGACAGAGGAAAAGAAAGGGGGAAAAAAAGGATGGTGCTAGGTGAATCAATAATGCTTATTTTTTGGTACCAATGCCAATACGTAAACAAATTCTCCTCCTTTCTTTTTTGGTTGCTTTTATTGGAGGTCTGAAATGCTTAATTGTTTCCCAGAAGCAATGCCATGAGTAGTAAAATACCTCTAGTGCTGGCTAACTTAAGAGAAAACAGTAATACACAAATATCAAAATGAGTTGCAGGAGGTAGAATAAATCAAGAAATTTTATAACACTCAACAAGTATAACATAGTGACTCCATAAACTCTCTTTTACAAAAAGATATATGTATATATATTCAACTTAATTCAGTTTTTTTAAATTTTTTTATTTCTCTCACTTCTATATATCTATCTCTCTTTATAAAATAATTTAAAATAATTACTCCTTAAATATTATAAAATTTTTAACAATAAATTTACTTTGTTTTTTGTCTCCTAAAAAAACAAAATAACCATTTCCTTTTGTTCTCTTTAACTCAATGCTAATAGATTTTTAAATGGTGACAGTCGACACCAGAGAAATCAGCACTAAAATACTGAAGACAAACACTTAATATGACCTGAATCCATCCACATTTCTCCAAACTAATTGGAAGGTGTTTGTCACGCAATTTAACGCTCTTACTATATATATATAACAACAATAAAGAAAGTGCAAGATGATGATAAGAAAATACAAGAACTTCCGAGAAAACCACACATTTCAGTACCATGCTTACAACTTCATAAAATGATAAAAGAAGGAAAAAAGAAAAAAAGAAAATTAAAAATATACCAGCATGAAGAAAGTCAGGTTGGTATGGCACATTAGCAGCAGACGCATTAGCCCCAAGGCCATGTTGCATATTACTACTAGAAAGATGATGAGGCCCAGAAGATGATGAAGAAGAATATAATCCTCTACTCCACACCCCACCACCACTACCCTGCACCATCACCCCAGTACTATTACTACTAGCACTGCTACTCTCCCCTCTCCTTCTCCACCCTATGAACAATCTGTCCCCGTCCATACGGTGTCGTTCAAACAAAACGACATCACCTGCATCAAGTTGTTTCTCTTTCACATATCTACTCCACCCTTTAGTCAATACATAGCTTTGACTACTATTCCAATATGAGTACCTAAACTTCCAATACTTGCCTGACTCGTCTTCAAAACTCAGTAACAACCCTTTGTCCACTGAGTCACTGCTAAGTGGAAAGTACTTCTCTGCATGCTGTTTTGGTATTACAAGACGGTTTAGCTTTCCTACATCACTTGGTGTCAAGGGTTTCTCAAACATTGCTTCTTTATCTAGTACTAGTGCTTCTCCTTGTTGGTGAACTTCTTGTTCATGTCCTTGTTGTGCTTCATCTTGCTGCTGCTGCAACTGTTCATGGTCTTGTTCTTCATCCTCTTCTTCGTTGAGATTGAAATTGAGGGTTGGGTTTTGAGGAGGGAACATGGAGGAGGGTTGGTGAGGATTGCAATGGTTGGGCCAGTTGTAGTGGTGGTGATAGTGATGGTAGAGATGGGGAGGCCAAGAAGAATTGGGGTTTGAAATATTTGGGGGTTTGTTTGGTCTAGAGGAAGAAGTGTTTGGGTTTGGTTCCATGATGATGGGTTGCTGTTGTTGATGTTGTTGTGCCCACCAGCTGAGTGTTTCTTGAAGGTCAGTGGAGAAATGGTTTATAGACATTAGATAGAGAGAGAAAGGGTACAAATTTTAGTGTTTTGGGATGTAGAGAGAGAGAGAGAGAGGACTAGTACAACTGAGGAAAGGAGAGGCGTGATGATTTTGGGATTGATGTGCGAACTATTTGATGTAGCCAGCAGCGATATGACAATGAGAGAGAGAGAGCGAAGGAGGGGAGGGGGGCTGGGGTGTGTGGTGGGGGTGAAAGAGAGAAGGAGAGGGAGAGGGGTAGGCATTGTTAGAAGTACGATACTACTGCTGCTACTTTAAGGTTTTGCGTGATGAGAAAAAGAAAAATCAATCATTATTTTCAGCGTAATTTGATATACTAGTCTAGCTAGACATGTCTCTTCGTTTAACAACTTTTTTTTCCCCCTCCTATCTCTATAATTGCTTTTGTTGGATTTCAAGTCTTCGGAATTGAAGGCTTTGTTTCTGTAAAAGATATTGTTGCTAGATATAATTAAAGAATTACAAAATCAGGCAGAAGAAGACGCATCCCACCTTGATAAGAACTATTGAGAAGAGGAACGAAGAGATTATAATTTCTAGCAATCTACAGGGTGAGTAATTTATTTTTGTGTGTCATTAGGAACAGCCCATGTTACTATATTGGCAAACAAATCAAGGTGGGACCAATCTTACGTATGCATATAGTCTGTGCTCTCTCATCCAACGGCCTGTCCACCACTTTCGTTTCTGCACATCTTCATTGACTGGGCACATGGGATAGTTACCCTTCCAGTAACTTCTGCAACAAGAATATCTAGCTAGCCATAGTTTTGGTATCTAGTTTCAATTTTTGGATCTTGTTACATGACTAGGTAAGGTACCTAAGTTACCACATATATATATATATATATATACACCTCTCTAATGGTAATTGCATGGCAAGAGATAAAGTACCTGTTGTTTTTTTGGCTCTGAAGTACAAGGTCAATTGATATTACTTAGGTTAGAATATTATTTATATAAGTGAATAATATTGCGATAGACATCTATCTATATGGAAGGTGATGGTTTGGTAATTTAACTTTTATGAAGAGAAAACACAAGTGGGTAATAAGGAGTGGTGGTCCTAAATGTATACATATACTGCTCCAGTATTTATTTATTTGATGAATTTGTTTTGTTGGGTCTCCAATGTGAAATGTGTAAGAGAAGAGAATAGTATTTTTGTCACGTGCATGACAGCATTATTGATGTTTGGCCATTCCTAGTTTAAAGAAGAGAAACGATTGGGAGAGCGTGGAAAAAAATCCACAGATCCTCTTCCCTTGCCAATAAGCAGAGGGATGAGATAAGATTTGTCCAATTGGAGACCTTTTTTGGTCAGTCGTGTTTGAATCCTCTCCTCACGCTCACATCTATCTCTTTCTTCTCATCAGGCATTAATGACAAACAAATAAATTATAGCTCACTTGGGTCGTCTATCTCTCACTCTGGGTGCTTCTTTCCTCACATTTATTTATTTTCTAGCTAGTTGTAGTATATTTATCTTAAGTTAGAAGTGTCTTTTATATGAGTTTCAGACAAAACCCACCTCAATTTCCAGATAGATTCAGCCACCCATTTCTGCCCTACAAAAGGCTTAGACTGGTTGTTAATTTAAGTACATGTTGGGGACACATAATAGAGGTTGTTGGGTTGTGTTATAGACTATCTAATACCAACAAGATGCTTCTGTCATCTTACTGATTGTCTATACATTTACTGAGTGCCACTTATCAAGTAGCTAGCTCATCATATGTTCTTCATTTGCCCCATGCCATTCGTCTCAATCATGGGATAACTGAACAATCCCGGTCCTTAATTGAACGGTCCAAATCACTATAAAACAGAAGTATTGATTAATTGTTACCTACCTACCTAGCGAGGTTAATGTAATGATGATAATAAATTAGTACTTAACTCAACAGAATTCACATTGAATAGTAAGAGTTATAATCGCTTAAATAAATGATTTTAATTTTGAGTCTTTATATATATAAAAAAATTTTTGGATAGTCTGTGTTCGTTTTGTGCGTCTAATCGAATAACAATAATTAGTTTATACCTTTAAATCTAGAATATTTTGAGAATCTAAAAAAAAAAATTAATATTTAGCACTATTAACTTTTTATAATTTTTTGATTCATCGGAAGTTAATTAACATTAAATAGCACAATAAAAGATGATTTTCTTTTCTTTTATAATAATCAAATAAGCTGAACTTTTTAAAACATTACTGGATTAACAACTATTAAACTATACATATATACTCGTTCATTCAATAATGCATAATAGAATATTATTGGATTGCCCTAAACAGATGTTGTTTGGGCCAAGTTGAGCTACGAATCCTTGACCATGAAGAAAGCACAGGAGTTTTGGCTGGGGTGACGAATCTGCCATGTAATCCGTGGAGGGTTTCTGTATTGTGAAATCTTCATAGTTGATGTCAAAGCAGACTGAGAATAAGACAGACCTCTTGAGATATTTAAGGAAAGTGGTTACTGATTGCAATAAAATAGACAAAATTAAAAATTTCTATATCTGGGAGTTCCTCAATTCCCAAGCAAAACCCACCTGGTGTGTAAGACCATCCGTGAGACCTTTCTGATCACTAAAGTCCACCAATCTCTTTTTGCAATAAATATTCATGCATTCAATTTTTTTTTTTTTCCAATTATCAAACACGATGTTAGGTTAGGTGAAATGTTTATGAATTAACAAAGATAAAGATAAGGATGCACTAAAATCAATTTTGTGACAAATTATGATTTGATCGTCAATGTTTAGTGATTGTTGAGGTCTATAATTATACATACGCCACCAGGGAATAGCCTCCTTTTCTTGATCTCTCCTATATTGTATAGATATGAAAAAAATTTATTTCTAAATTATTTGAAATGACATTAATTAAACTATGTGAAAAATTAATCAAAGTAATTAATGTATCGATATTTTGCATGGAATTAATTATGCTGACTAATTAAAATAGATGCTACACATTTCTAAATATATCGAGTTCATGTACTTCAATACTCATGTGCCAAAAAGGCCAAGAACAATGTCCCGTAATATCTAAAGTTTGATACGTATCCTATATGTATATATATGACTAATCGCAACATTTAATATTCATAGGAAAGAAAATAAAATAATAAAATATAGTTTAAGGTTCTGATTCTTGGCATCTATCATATTCTTCCCTAAATTCATATATATATAGAGAGAGAGAGAGAAGGTATAAAGCACTTAATTAACTAATTACTCCTATAATCTTATAGAATTTTCCAATTACAAAAGCACACGCTAATCGTGTATGTAAATCAAACACACAAAATGATTTTATGAAGCTAATTTTTTCTTTTGCGGGAGGCATGTCGGGTTTTGGACTATACGATGAAAAATTCCTTTCTTATTACATAACAATTAAATGAAATAGAATTATTAACTCAAATCTCTTTTAAAACTATAGGATTCACATTTGCTAAACTATATTGATTTGTGTTCATGATATATATATATATATAGACACAGAGTACTAATTATTGGTACTATTTTTAATAGAATAATTTATATATGCTACGGGGAAGGAGACCACTTCGGGATTTGAATTGAGTGATGAATTTACTAGGTATTGCAGTTGCTTGTAAAAAAGTTGATGCTTTGTGTTTCTTCTTGGAACTGGAAAGGAATATTTCCGATCAAAGATTTTATCCTAGAAAACATATTCTGGTTTGATAAGTTTTCTCTCTCTCTCGTCTCTCTTCAGTAATTCAAGACTTTCTAAAGGAGGTATTTGTGAACCATGCATATGCAATAACAACAAGACACGAATCTATCAATTTAGCCATCACAAACGCAAGTTCTTGAAATTTCAACGCAATTACATAAAGTCCAGCTTTTATTTTAATTATGTGAATTATGTATGATTAGCATTAATTATTTTTAGTATAAAGTTATTTCTAATTTGTAACGATAGAACCATCAAATCTTTTCAATACATTATTTAATAAACTATATTTTCAACTATAAAGGAAATTGATTAAAAAAAATAAAATATAAGGAGAAAACTGGCCCTTCGATGCAAAGAGTAAAATGGGAGTTATATCTTGATTAAACCCAAGAATGGGATAACCAGCAACAGACATCATGAATGTGGAAAGGTAGGGTTGAAATTGGGGTAGGTGCAATCACTAATATTGGATTTAAAAATAAAAAAGTTTGTTGTATTTTTGAAATTTTAAGAGGTTGACTTCATAATTAACGACTTTTTTTAAAAAAAAATCAAACTTTACAACCATTAGACCAATACAAAAAGCGTACTTTTTAGATTGTCTAGAGAAAAAAATAATTTAAATTGGGGTACAAACTAAAACAAAAAATAAATAAAATTTGTTGAAGGTACTCGAACTTAATTTGCATAGAATATTGTAAAAACTTTGAAGTGGGGACCTTATGCCTTATAATATGAGGATTACGCACATGGAGTACCATACATTAATTAGATACAGTTCACACGTATATAAAATCATGGAAAGCCTTTATATTAGACCAATTTTTGGTGGTTCTGATCAATTTGCAGCAACTTTTGTGCATATGGGTTGGACATTACTCTTGTTAATTCCCATGGTCCGTTTCTGGAGATTTTAACTCTTAAAACAATTATTTTTAGAAGTTAAATAATAAAGATGTTTACATATCAGTTTTTATATATTTTGAAAATAATTTCATCGTTAGCATAACAACATAGTTAAAAGACACATTCTTTAATTTATGGTTTTGGATATTTAAAAATAAATTTTTTTAAATGTTAATCACAATAATTAAATCATATACTTGGCCTATAAGTCTACGCTAGTTAATTAATTAACTTGATTAATGTATAGATCATATGGAGTTATCATTGCATAAAATCAGAGATCAAACTCATCCCACTGTATTCATCGACAATGGAGGACTCAATTTTAGAGGGACGATGTAAACTGGAAACCTAGCTCTTCTGCATAATTCAG